TATAAAGCAAGGCTTGTGGTAAAAGGCTACAGGCAACGTGAAGGTCTCGATTATTTCGATACTTATTCACCTGTTACAAGAATCACATCCATTAGGATGTTGATCGCGGTAGCTGCATTGAATGGATTAGAAATACATCAAATGGATGTCAAAACCGCCTTCTTAAATGGCGACCTTGAAGAAGAGATATACTCAGAACAACCTGAAGGTTTTGTTGTTCCAGGACAAGAACGGAAAGTTTGTCGCTTAATAAAATCCCTTTACAGGTTAAAGCAAGCTCCAAAACAATGGCATGAAAAATTTGACAAAGTTATGTTGTCAAATGGTTTTCGAATTAATGAATGTGACAAATGTGTCTATGTTCGAAATACTGAAAAAGGGTTTGCCATTGTCTGTCTTTATGTAGACGACATGTTGATCATGGGTAGTAATAATCAAATGATTAAAGTCACTAAACAATTACTTAAAAGTAAGTTTGATATGAAAGATATGGGGATAGCAGACGTTATCCTAGGTATTAAAATCCATAGAACATCTACAGGGTTGGCCTTATCACAGGCTCACTATATAGCTAAGGTTCTTGAGAAATTCAAAAGTTTGAATATAACTCCTGTGAGGAACCCTGTCGATTGTAATCTTAGTCTATTAAAGAACACTGGTAAAGCTACAGCACAAAAGCTATATGCTCAAGTGTTGGGAAGCCTGATGTATGTTATGAACTGCACCATACTTGATATTGCTTATGCAGTAAGTCTGTTAAGTCGCTTTACCAGTAATCCAAACGAAAATCATTGGAAAGCTATGGTAAGAGTTTTGGGATACCTGAAGTATACTCAAAATTTTGCTTTGCATTACGAGAAATACCCCGCAGTTATAGAAGGGTATTGTGATGCAAATTAGATCACCGGCTCTAACGACACTAGATCCACAAGTGGATATTTGTTCACCCTTGGTGGAGGTGCTGTGTCTTGGAAATCGTCCAAACAAATCTGCATTGCAAGGTCAACCATGGAAGCAGAATTTATTGCTTTAGACAAGGCCGGTGAAGAAGCCGAATGGCTTCGTAATTTTATTGAGGATGTTCCTAATTGGCCAAGACCGGTCCCAGCCGTATGCATACACTGTGATAGCGAAGCAGCTATTGGAAGGGCCAAGAATGTCATGTATAACGGTAAGTCTAGACATATACGTCGAAGACATGATACCGTTAGACAACTACTCTCGAATGGAATCATTTTAATTGACTATGTTAAGTCTAAGGAGAACATAGCGGATCCGTTAACCAAAGGGATTCCTAGAGAGCTGGTTGAAAATTTGTCGAAAGGAATGGGTTTAAGGCCTATCAATTGTTGAGCATTGCGGTAACTCTACCTAGAAGAGTGGAGATCCTATGAACTAGGTTCAAAGAGACAACTAAGTGATGGTCGACTGTTTAAACACTGTGGAGTTTTTTAAACTCATACTCATTCCTAAGACAAGGCAGTGTATTTATGAGGGTAAGCACTTAGGCTTTTAATGATTTCTTAATCTGTTGTGTTCAGATGATGTATAGTGAGGTACATCACAAGAAATCACCTATGTGAGTGTGAAGTGACGGCCGCTTCTATGAGAATTTTTTCAAAGGGCGATTCTCTAAAACACTCACAGAACCAGGCAGGTGTCCCACAGCCAAAATGGGCGCAACAAAGGACCAACAATGCTAGAGAAGCAATTGTGTGACTCCTATTGTCTAGGTATGCACTAAAGGTTGACGGTTCAAGTCGACCTAGACCACCGATTGACCGAGTATATCCGATAGGTTTTCACTAGAGAAGGTTCAAAGGTAACTCCACCTATCTCGATGCAGTTGTTTCTGGTTAGGAATTTACACTTTGTATTTTACTTTTATGCATTTTGTCACGATGATTTGACTTCTTATCCATGTGGGGGATTGTTGGAATTAATGAAAGAATTAATGTACAATGATCCATTGGTTATGAATAAGAAGTGGGTTAATAAAGAAAAGAGAAAAGGGAAGATGAAGAGGTGTGTGGGTTTAACAAGTCCCGCATTGGACAATTAGTAGGAAGTGGGAGAGTATATAAGCTCCCACCTCACTCTCCTAATTTGACCCTTGGGTCACTACATATTTTATGTAGGGGAAGGGGCTAGGTGGGCTTTAGTTCACCACACATGCGCGCGCCGCCGTCCGGCCGGCTGGCTCGGTTCGGTTCATATGTGTGTAATAAAAATAATTTTTTATTAAATATTTTGTCCAAAAAAGTATTCGTTGCTTCCCTCCAACCCAAACGTTTCTACCCGCCGGTTTTTTGAGCAATGTTGAACCGAACCGGTTCTTCCCCTTCGTGAACTAGTCACCGGTTGTACCTGTTCATCGGAACGGTCACCGTTCGCCGCCGGCGACTGTTCATCGTGACCGGTCAGTGTCTATAAATAGACACTGACACCTTCAGAAATTTATCCGATTTTTCTGCACTGAAACTCTGCCGGAATTTTTCTCCTTCCGATTTTGCATACAGTCTTTCATCCTCCGGTGTACTTTCCTCTGGCAATTATTGTGTTCGTTTGGGCTGTTGATTGGTAGTGCCACCATTCTTCAGACGAAATTTGTTCTATCCTGGGAGACAAGTGTCCATCAACCTTTGGCATCTGTGAGGAGGCAAGTTGTCTTAAGGAGACACGTTCTGTGGGCTAAGATTTTAATTCCTCTTCTGAAATATCATTCTGTCTGTAACATCATTCTGATTCTGTCTACTTCATACGTATCAAGTAAGTCTGTATTTTATATTTATAATTGCACAGTGATGATTCTGATTATCTACCTCATCTACTTAATACATGGGTTCAAATCTATTAGTGATACTTTTGACATTGTGTAGGACTTACCTTCAATCAGTTGCCTTCGGCAGCTCGTGCTCAAATTTTTATTTTACTTATTATAGGGAAGCAGTGAAGCAGGCTGTCAAAATTCTTTTTGAGGACCATTGAGCCGATAGGCTCAAGACACAATGAATAACCAACTCAATCCCTTTAAGGACCCCCATAGTTTAGTGTCTAAAGGGCTGTAGTAACCAAGATAGCTCAATATCCCTCCAAGCTAGAGGAGTCATAGCTCCGTCAAAGTTAACCTTGCACTATGCTTATTTAGGAATTTGCCACGTGGAAGTGTTACTACGAGGGATACCTACAGCACGTGGATGGTGCTATAGTTTGTGTAACTCTATATTTCAACTCAATCAAATGTCTGTATAACTATGTTGGGCGTTTTTTCTTTCTTTTTTTTACCATACCAAATGGGCTAATCAGGCCTCTTTGTAGTCCATACGCATGTATAAATAACCCATGACACAGTCCTCTTTGCATTCAATTCAAGACAAATGCGTTTAACAAAGGTCCATTAAGAAAAGCTTGACCTGTTTAGCAAGTATCATGTTGTCAGTTATCGTGTTTGATTGAGAATAAATTTTTTTTATGTATAAAAATCATAATTGTTAGGAATATGATTGTAAAGTCACTTTTATAAGATTATTATCGAAAAACTGTTTGATAGGCTAGAGGCTAAAATTTTTTCGGGATTTTGTTTCAAAAAAAGTATAAATTTTTTCCAACATATAAGATTTCAAGAATACCACCCCTTTAGTGGTATTCTTAAATGGCATTTTGAAAGAGAATTGTATACAAAACAAGATATCGAGAAAATCAGATTATCGAATTTTTTTTTCAAAAATCTTATACCAAACTTGAATAAATAGAATTAAGACTATATTTTTTCGAGAATCTAAAAAAATTTCTCTTACCAACCATCTTAGATTATGTTTGACGGTTTTTGTTGAAGGATAAACATTTCTTTAACGTTCCTTTGTGAAAAACGCAACACCCAAGGCATTCTCGATGTAGAAGCCACAACCAAGAGACTTGGCTATTCACAAATCACAGTTAAGCGCTCCGGGCTGAATGAGAATTATTTGACTAACTAAAAAAACAAATAGAGATTAGTGTAGTAAAAAGGAAAAAAAAAGTGTTTTTTCTATCATAAAAGATATTTCCTATAATCCCAAAATGAAATCATTTAACAGTTTGGAGAAAAATATATATATATATTGAGATTTTTGTTTTTCTATTACAATTTACAACACAAATTTTTTCAAAACACCTTGTTCTAAAATCTTTTCCAAAAAAAATTTATTAATGGATTAAATGACAAAATAGATTAATGGGTCTATGAATCCTGTACGGCTTTCACATTTATATGGTACTTTCTTAATCTGCGCCTAATTAATATTGAACTTCACACCATTCATATTTGAATATTTTCAACATACCTTTTATTTTTTATCTCTAAATCTCAAAATGATTTGATTATTGGATATAACTTTATATTACCTAACCGAATAAATACTACAAAAAATATTTATTAATTATTAAATTATATAAATAATGGATAAAAAAAATTCAAGAGATTGTATAAACTTTTAAATTTTTATTACTTATTATAAAATTATAAAATCTTATATAGAGCCAAAAAAAAAAAAAATCCTATTCTGAGTTATTCGAATTTTATTTCATGTAAAATAATAAGTTTTGAATATTACAAAGTTTTTATGTACATCAACTATTGACAAGCATCAAACACACTAAAATCCCATTTATTTTCCAGTTGTGTATTTTTATTTTGATAAATTACGAGTAATTTCATAGGAGATAATCCTGTATTAGGAATAGGTTCAAGATTAAGACTTCAAATTCTTTCTAAAAATAATATTAAATAAGATTGAACATATATTTTCATCTCTACTTGTTTAGCTCTTGCATGTAAACTTAGTTACGATGAATTGTTCCAATTGTGTATGTTTGTGTTGTCGCATCAAACACGCTAAGATTCCATTTATTTTCGTAGTTGCGTATGCGCAATCATAGCATATAGAATGTAAAGTAAAAGTTGGGGACAAGACTACAAGAACTTCAATAATTCCAATTTGTCTTGATGGCATTATTCCATTTGTTGCCAAGCATATAATAATATGCCTTCTATCAGCTACATAACCTTTTTCTTATTACTTGTTAACTTCTTGTCTCTTTCTAATCATGGTCATTGGAAAAATATCTTGAGGCTTTTTTTTAACTCATTTAAAACAAATTTCAGGAACAAATTTGTGAAATTTGCATCAATATGGTCAAAAGCCGAATATCTAATGCCAAATTCCCAAAATCACAGAGATAATGAAAAGCAGGAAAAGTGTCCCATTTCCACCAGGAATTATGGATGACCTGCAAAATCATTGAACAACAGTTATATGCCAGTGATTACAGCTTTTCCTTAACCACACTGAAGCATTGGAAAATCAATAAATTGAACGGTAAATACCCTTTTTGGTCCTCAGAAAATTTCACGAGACCCGTTTTAGTCCTTAGCAAATAAAAAGGTCCATCGTGGTCCCTAAAAAATTTAAATTAGACCATTTTAGTCCTTTTGAGGACTAATATAGCTCTTTTTTGAATTTGTGAAAGACCACGATTTCAACTAAATAGGTCCTTTTGAATTTTTGAAGGACCACGATGGGCCTTTTTATTTGCTAAGGACTAAAACGGGCCTTGTGAAATTTTCTAAGGACCAAAAATGGTATTTACTCTAAATTGAATAAAAGTGTTACTAGTTGTTGAATGAGGTTTACAAAAGTTTCAAAAGAAACTGAAGAAAATTTTCATAACGCAATTTTGGGGCTATCATGATTGTATAACCGAGAAAAGGAGGTACAAAGTTGTTAGAACTTAGAACTGAAAACTACATATTAGACAAAGAATACAAACTGATGATAATATACTGGAATATAGTCTCATTCATAAGAAGGGTATAAGATTCTTTAATTTGTACTCCTGCATTATTATGACAGTAAGCTAAAGATAAAATATATAGTATCTACACTTCTTTTAAATGCTTAATTTTGTTAAGTATATGGAACACTCACTAGCTTTACTTGGAATCATGATTAGCCATACCTGATTTTTTTCTTGGATTGGTGTAAGTAAGTCATCACGGGTGGAATAATGCCAAACAGAAAGCAATTGGCATAGACCCCAGCAAAATCAAGAGCTCTTGAAAATGTAGAGCGAAAAAATGAAGCTATCAACACTGAGAAACCAAGGACTAATAGTGTTACAAGGACTATAATGGGATCAAGTTTTTGCTCATTTGATCTCATTTTAGATCCTTTTATAGTCAAATTTTTTGAACCACTGAAGCAAACAGTCCCTGAATAACCAATACTAGGCCCTCCTGAGTAAAAGGCCAATCCAACTCTTCCACTACCATGCTCATTAAAAGCTGAGGCTTTTCCAGATACCAACTCCAAAGTGTCAAGAAGCTGTTTGGGCAAGCTTACAGTATATCCTATCAAGCTAGTTGCCATAGCAGAGAAAGCAAAAGCTTGAACTGCAGATAAAGCAGATGGATTTACAGAAAGCAAAAGGGATATGGGGTCACCAGTGGTGGCTGCTGAATTAGTCCCAACAAGCCCCAAGACAATCAAATTCCATGACAAAACCATGATTAAAGGAACAGTCCCACCAATTAGTATTGCATTTCTAACCTCATTCACTGTGTTCCCTGCAATCTTACATATAAAAGGAGTGATGACATGAAATCCCAATGTGAGTACAGCCACTGGTATAATAGGAAGTATTGATGAAAGCTTCCATGAGGCTAAAGCAAATGAGCTTATTATGTTAGCTCTTGCAACAGACAATCCAACAGCAACAAGTCCAGTTATAGAGAAAAGCATAAGGAAGCATAAAAGCCTGTTTGCAACATCAATAGTCTTGAATGGAAAAAAGACAATCAACATTCCAACAAGAAGAGGAAACAAGGCATTAACAATCAAAGTATCCACCCTTGGAAACAATGAAGAGAAAATAGATCCAATACCAGCAATACAAGCCACCAGCAATGAAAAACACAAAAATGTGTAAACCAGACCAACAAATGCACCAAATTGACTTCCCAATGCCTTTGTTGCAAGGCTTGTAAAGCTCACCTCTTCAACCCCATCTTCTTCCATGGCAGAAAAGCTAAGTTCTGCTACAAGAATGATTGAAGAGATGACATAGAGCCAAGAGAGGAGAATTATGATTGTTGAAGGAAATGGACCAGATTTAATAGTCAAAGAAGGCAAACCCAACATTCCAGGCCCAACAGCAGCACCAATGATCAAACTAACACCACCCCAAAAGCTCTTTCCCTTTGCAGTTCCATCAGGAATCTCATTAATACTCTGATTCTTGGTGGGGTTGCTAACAAAATCTGCATCATCATCAGGTGAGTGGGTAGAGAATGCTATTGCATTACAGGGTGCAAAGTTTGTTATAAGGCGAAGATTGGGGCCATTGCTTGTGAAATATGGAGCAAAATTAGTCTCATAAATGTGAATAGTTTTTTGAAAACGGGTTCTATGTCCAAGAAAATGTACTATACCATTGATTTTTGGACATGTCAAAGACTTGGGGTTGAATAGCTGAGAGAGATGAAGTTGTTGCATATTGGGGAAATTGGTAAATGGGAGATCTTGTTTTTGCAGCCAAATTGATGGAAAAAGAGTGTATAACTCTAGCACACCACTCTGCTTGTGAATGATTCTATGCAATCTTAAAAGGCAAGAGCTAAACCTAGGTATGTCCCTCAATGAATAATATCTAATTACATTTCGAGCACGACACAAACACTTTCGATTATAACCTAGGTCTGGCCTTTTTATTGAACATTACAATCAAGCTTATGATTAAAAAAAAAAAAAAAAAGTAAAAGAAAAGAAAGAAACACTATGTATCTTAGATAGGTCCAACAATGGTGGTTCCAACAATGACAGGAACAGAACTCATATACTCAAGTGAAACCTACTGAATTTTTAAGAAGGGCCCCACAACGACGGAACTCATCCACTGGTGAATCCTATTTAAATTTTTATATTAATTTGGTTTGTATAGTTGATGTGAGAATTTGATCTCTTAATAATTTTTTCTTTATGGTAACTGTTTTAAAATAATAGATAATTAAAAAATAGAGATAAGAGAAATATTATGCAACGATAAATAATCAGAAGAATAATAGAGATAACTTCCCATTGTATTTTTGTTGTCCGTATACAAGATTTATATATGAGCTCTATTCATATAGACTCTCGACTATCATAAGGTATAAGGGAATAAATGACAAAATTATATCCTCCTAATTGCGTATTATTAACTCATAGGAGTTGCATAAGTTATACATAATTTCTTTGGGGTTATAAACATCCATATTAATAATATTTATAACACTCTCCTTTGATGTTCATTAAAATAAAGTATCTTATTAAAACCTTAATAGAAAAAAATCCTATGGAAAAAAAAATCCTAAATCCTAGTGAAGGCAAAAAAAAGAGAATATATATTTCTCGTAATATGCATCGTAAGCTACCTCATTAAAAATCTTACTAAGAAAATTCAATCGAACAAAAACTTGGTGAAGGAAAAAAGAACGCAATATATATTTTACTCCATTTGATGATAACATTATTTAATATCTTAGAGTTTGTGAATCTCAATCTTATATATGAGCTTCTAAAAACTTGATGTATGCAATGTCTTAGTAAATAAATTTGTCAAATTCTCTCTTGAACGAATTTATTGAATGCCATAAAATAGTTGTGCTTCAAATTGTGAAGAAAAAAAATCCTATTTGGAATCTAGCTTTGTGTGGATCAGATAAATATCATATATTATTCTAGTATTTTTGTGTTGGAGAAGAATTAAATCCTCCTAATAGACTTACAGATAAGAAAATGATGATATAAGGATAAAGGGGAGAAGATATGAGGTTAGAAAGTCAAACATCCACATTATTAATAATTTCATAACTCCTCCTTGGATGTTCACTCTTTATTAAGATTGTCTCATTAAAAATCTTCCCAAGAAAATTCCAATGTGATAAAAACTTGGTGAAAGAAAAAAAGTGCAAGTGCAATGTGTATAACTCTTCCCCCTTAACTAAGCCATATAGCTATTATTGAAGCTAATTAACTTTTCATCATGCTATACATTAGTGCCCTGATTGAACTGAGATATAGCACTTTAGGACTAAGAAATTTTTCATGGGTTGAAATAGACATTTTATTTATGTCAAGTGATCTCACAACTATTGGAGTACTCAATGGATATGTTTTATCCATGTAAAATCTCTTTAACATCTTATCTATATAAGTCAATTGAAATATAAAAATTCTATTAAGATGATTATACCATATACACCTTTATTTATTTAGAGCTCGCTTGTTTCACCTTCTAAAAAAAGTGACTTTTATCTCTTCCTTATTTTAAAAGTACTTTTTACAAAAGTTAAAGCTATTTATATTTTTATAAAAATATTTAGTTTTTGAAAAAAATATTTGGCTTTTGACTTCTGCTTTTTGTAAAAGTTAAAATTTTTAGCTTTTGAAAAAAGTAAATTTTTGACTTTTTTTGTGACTTCTGCTTTGTTTTAAAAGTAGACTTCCAAACGAACTAAAAATCAAAAGTGCTTTTTTTCACGAAAAAAATCAGCTTTTGAAGAAAAAAAAGCCCATCCAAACGGGACCTTAATCCATTCAACAAATTTCTTGCGAATTTGTATACGCTTCAATCATTTTGAATCTTTATGGGATATAAATTTCATCATCGATTGTATGAGCCATATAAATAGGCTATAACAATGCACTAAAAAAAGGCTATAATAACGTCGATTAGACACATGTCAATTTTTTTCATGAATTGCTAGATTAATAAGATATTTGAAGGTGTATATATATTGACATCTTACAGAGTATCCTATGGACAAAGTATATACATTGACATCTTACAGATGCATCAATCAGTGTTGCACACATACATATATATGGAATGTGTTTGTCAATTACTATTATTAATCCACAATTTTGCTAAACATAAAAGTTCTTTTCCCTTACTAGGAACAAGAGTGAAGGGTAAGATCACAAGTTTTAAAATGTAGATTTATGTGAGACTTCCCTTACTCCCATTTCTCAAATCTAGCTATTCATTGTAGTTTTTGGAGAATAGAGTTAGCTAAATTTGTTAGATAAATAAAGAACTTGCTTAGATATTCTTTAGTTTGGCTGATGAATAGCTGTTAATAGGGAAAAGCTCACCAATACTCCTGTGATTTGCTTCATAATCATCTATGCCCCAGTGGTTTTTTTATCACATATGCCCTTATGCTTTGTAAAAAATAAAAAATCACAGGAGCATATGTGATAAAAAAAATCACAGGAACATAAGTGATTTTAGAGTAAACCATAGGGGCATTGGTGAACTTTTCCCTTGTTAATAAGACACAATCTTTGTCCTGTGTCAGTAGGCTACATACAAATGTTGAAGATTTGTAACTCATAATTAGGATTTGCTTTTCCACATGCTATAAATTCTAACTTGGAAATAGTCTTTTTTAGAAAAAAAAAAAAAAAAAAAACTCAGTTTTGTTGCACAATCACTTAGGCTTTGTTTGGAAGTTTGGAAGGGAAGGAAAGGAAGGGATCCAAAGGAGATGGAGGGGAAAGAAGGAAAAGGAAATAAAGAGTATTCTCTTCCCCTGTTTGAAAGTTAAAAATATAGAAAGGGAGAAAAATGGAGGATTAATTAAATATTTTTATAATTTTACCCTTTTTAAAAAAATTATTATAATTATTATATTTTACAAATGAAATTAAATTTAAAATTTCTAACAAAATTATTTATATACTTTTCACACTACTAAAAAAATCATATATTTGATGAAATTTATATGTTGCAAACAATGAAAATTTGGTCGAAAAAGTATTTTTCCATCAGAATACTTTTCGTCGAAAGGTGACAACTTTTTATCTGTCAAAATTTTTTCACAAATAAATTTTATGTCAAAAGATAAGCTCTATGTTTAAGGAGTCTTTTCCTACTTGAGTGTTCCACTATGGTTATTGGACTGTGGTTAGATTGTATGATTGTTTTTATGCGTTGTATAAATGCATTCATATAGAGCTATTTGATAATATGATATGTTTTGTTCTGATGTGATTTCTGTAATGATCTCTGGCCATTGATTGTATTGTGCACTGATTTCTACTTGAGGTCCTCCCTCGGGACTGACTGTATACACCTCTGATATGTTCTGGTTCTGCTTGGGGTCCTCATTTGGGAACACATACGTTGATTTCCGCTTGGAGTCCTCCCTTGGGAATGACTGTGTACGCCTCTGACAAGATATGTATATATGCTTTGTTTAGTTATGATATCTGTTATATGATATTTTGTATACGCTGTATCTGACTTTCATGCAGGAGTGGGCCCAGTGGTATGGAGAATTCTCTATAACCCTGGAGCTTACTGAGATTTGTTATCTCATCCCTTCTTGGGGACATCATTTCAGGTGCACAGGTTGTCGTTGAGCCTTCACGGAGCAAGGATACGATCCGTTGTTAGAGTGTATCGCGGACCGAATTTTTGGGTAGCAGTCTGCTATCATTATTTTGGAGGATTATGATTTGCATTAGTATTCCATTTATTTTGGTGGATCACGATGTCTGATCTGTTACTTTGTATATGGCCTGTATATGTTTTGTACATGTTTTTCGCTTTGATGCATGTACATCTGGGTATTCAGGCATGTTATATTATGATGCAGTATTCAGTTATATGCTTACATGTTAGAATTGTATGTCGTTAGACATAATGGCACGGAGCCAAGCTATGCATGCGCCCATGGATGGGTATATGGTCTTATAGGGATATATGGTTGTGCTGAGATCATATATTGTATAAACTGTTTATCAGGAAAACCTTGAGTGTGGGATTTGCAAATCCCCATTCGTCCGATTTACAAATGGTACTCTGTCCGATTTTTGTCTCCGTCCAATAAGAATTAAACTAGTAGAAGTATGCAATGCGATATATCATGTGATAAAGGATTAAAGAAAAAGAAAAAGTTAGTTCGTATTTTCGTAAGTTAAGTCTTCTGCTGTTTCTGTTTGTATCATATGTATGTTAATTGAACCGGCTCGAGACGGGGATGTTACAATTATGGTATTAGAACAGTTTCTCGGGTAAAGTCAATGATATATTGCATAAGATGGTTGAGTTATGACATTCTTGAGTGTTTCTTGGAGTGCTATGATATGCATGTCTGATCACTGAGTGTGAGTGTAGTTAACTCATTCCTTTGTTTACAATGTGCAGAATTATGGTTCGTCCAAGAGGGACGCATGATCCTCCTGTTGACCAGACAGATCCTAGGCCCCGAATAAATCGTCGGGGGAATAATTCACAACCGGATCCTATGTTGACGGCTCTTACTGCATTGCAGTAGACTATGGCTGCAACAAGACAACAGGAATTGGAATTGATAATGAAAGCTAATCAAGATATGTTGACAGCAAATAGATTGGCAAATGTTGAAATGATGAGAGTACTTTTAGCTGAGGTGAGGGCTGGTGGACAAGCTCCACAACAACAGCCACCAGTGTAGCCCCAATTACCA